GGTGACCTCGCAGGACGTGTTTTAGTTGTATGAGGTAGAGCTGAAGCAGATGACTGTCGCCAAATCTGGTTTCCAGCGCCGAGATGAGAGCTTCATAGTTCAAGCGGATGACTTGCGGGATGTACTCGAAGTAATAAAACGCGGCAACACGGAGCGGCACAACGAGCGCCTGAGCTTTATTTTGAACTATCCAGCCGTTTAGGGCAACAACGGACTCGAACTGCGCCAAAAATGCTGCCCATGACGTGGTGTCATTGAAGTTAGGCGGTGGAAGTTGTGCTCCGAAAAACCGAGGCTGAGCTGACAGAGGAACATTTCGTTAGACTGCGGTAGACAGACGTTGCTAAAGGCCAGACTGCTCCTCAATGACAGAGAGCTGCTCGGCTAGGTCGGCGATGACGTCCACCGTCGGAGCACGTTGGGCGAAAGTAGCCTCAAGAGAGAGCAAGCGGGTAGCGAAGCGAGTTTCAAAATCTTGCATAAGGGCTCGTCTATCGGCCTCACCTTGTAAAACAAGGGCTTGCAGGCAGTCAGGTATAGGTAGACTGGCACCAGCGCCTGACTGTTGAAGGTCCATTGAAGGTGATTTGGCGTATCCTGGACATCAAACTCTGACAGAAGAGGCTGATGCGGCGCTGGTGGCGGGATGTGAGAAGAGACTGGGGCTCCCGTGGCCTGTTCCAAGCTTTCCTGCATAGTCGGGACAGGAGGTTCCAGGGTCGTTGACGACATGTCGTCTTCCTTAGGGTGCATCTTAGAAGTGCCGACTGTTGCTGTGATCGTGACAGCCTTACTCCTTGTAAACATGGGTTAACATTGTCACCGCTGCCACCAAATGTAACATCCACTAAACACACAAAAGCAAAATACACTTTAACAAGGCTTTAATATGGCAGCCATTGCCACCAGCCTCACTGTTTCCAAAACACTCAGTCTTCCTCGTTCTCTGTCCTCCAGCTTTCCTCTGCTAGTATCCTACTACCCATCAGTTTACCCCATAACAATAGCCATAATTGTTCAGCGAACTGGAAGCACAGGAGGAACTCGGACATGAAGCAAGGAGGAGGCACACAGCACGAGCGCTCATTAACAACTGGTTTATTCTCATGTTAGAAGGACATACACAAGGACGTACACAAGGGTGTACATGTCAACAGGAATAAGACGATAGCGTGAGCAGCATGCGAGGCATTCATTTGAAGCACTCAGTTAAGAATTATCTATATAGTTAAACTCACAGTCAAGTAGTGACAATGACGGATGGCTGATACATGGATTCTTATTTCTGTAAATGTGATATGCTTCAAAAATTTCACGTGTGGTTTGAAGCAGATGCCGGAAAGAACACTTGTTTCTTCAAACAACGGTTGGCCTTTGCAGAAATTCCAATTTGAAGATAAAGTGGAAAAAGGAGTACTTTTCAAGAAACTTCAATGCTCGCTGAGGCGTACATTCAAACATCGACCGGTTTGGCCAATGTACATGCGACCGCAAGATAGCGGTATGCTATACAACACTCCTAAAATGCACTTAACAAACTGTTTCGCATGTTTCTGCAAATATCCTCTGCCTTTAGACTCCCCCAGCGCTACGGCCCAATTTATTGGGTGCAGAGAAAACAACGTGCATACCAAACCGGTTCCCCACATTTTTTTAGTCCGTGCACCATTTTATGAATGTAAGAGATGATGGCCACGCATTTGTTTTCTTTATTGCATTCTGCAGAAACACATACACGTTTATCACTTTGTCATCATCCGCAGAAGTCTTTCACACACCGATGCAATTAGATACGGTGGGTACTCAGCACCGAATAACTGTCCTAGCTGCGCTAAGAAACCGTAGTGCACCATACGAATGCAGCTTTTATCAAGCACTGAACGAAGGCATGACAGTACAATTCCTCGTTTTATAATCTTGGAATGGCCGAACGAGTAATCTAAAACAGGTTTCGCGGATCGAGGGTTATATTGCCAGCAAAAATGATTGTCTCCAAAAAATAGAGAAAGGTCTAGAAATTGCAATTTACGATTACTTGAAACCCCGGAGGTAAACCAGAAACCCATGCGCTCCATCTCGAAGCATGTCTACGTAGCGTCATAGTTCACTGCCTTCTCTTTGCTTCGTGTCTGTGTTCCTACCTCGCTTCCAGTTCGCTGAATAATTATGAATTACCAACTAGCCCACCTTTTTATTCTATTGCAATAATATAGCCATTCATGTCTTCGAAATGCTGAAATGCCTGAGCTATGGATTCTTAACTGCCATATATTATTTGGCTGGAAGTTTATTAGAATTTGTTGCATGTAGTTACCAAAACAATTTTAATTCTCAATATGAATTTTCTTAGCGATTTGCAAACTTATCTTCAAACCAGTGCTCCAGACTTGCTAACCAACATATTCAATTACTCATGGAAAACTTTCTTTATTTAGATAAATAGGCGAGTATTTTTGAGTTGCAAATATATTTATGACTAATTATTAATTGTCATTAACAAAAAAATTTGTAGTGGTTACTACCGTATATACTCGTGTAAGGGCCGCCCTCGTGTAAGGGCCGCACCCCAACTTTGAAAGCGGATATTTCGAAAAAAAAAAAAACAAAAGTTCAAAATGTCCCGCCAGAAAAGTGTAGTTAGTTCATTTACAGCCAGATGGCGCTGCACGCTTTTCCGCTTTTATTCTACTTCCGCCGACGCGCCGACCACGCTGTTGACAGCGCGCCGCCATATTTGCCTTGTGCGGCCTCTTTGTTGGCATCGTTCCTAGCATCGTGTCGATACGTTGGCAGCGCGACTTCAGATCGGTGTCGTCGGTGTCACTTTGTTGGTTGTAGTGAACCCTGCAGAAGCCAGCGCACGTGACGGACGATGGGCCGGCATCTGAGATCATTCACTGCAGCATTTAAGCTGCAAGTGATTGACTATGCCGAGGAGCACGGGAAGCGGGAAGCTGGACGAAAGTACGACGTCGATGAGAAGCGCGTGCGTTACTGGATGAATCAGAAAGATGCCCTCGCCGCTACTAACAGGAGCCGAAAGGCGTTTCGCGGGAAAAAGTGCAAGTACCCGCAACTCGAAAGCGAGCTCGTCAACTACGTCGTCGACACACGAAGGGACGGCTACGCCGTATCGACTGACATGATACGCGTCAAAGCCCTCAGCATCGCTCGCCACATGGAAATACCCCCGGCACAATTCAAGGCAAGTCGGGGCTGGGCTACGCGGTTTATGAACCGTAACCAGCTTTCTATTCGGCGCCGAACGACGATTTGCCAAAAACTGCCGCGCGAGTACGAAGACCACGTCATTAAGTTTCATCGCTTCGTGAATGCTCTCAGGAGGGAGCATGAATACGACCTGTCCCAAATTGGGAATGCGGACCAGACACCTGTGTGGTTCGATGCACCGGAAAGCACCACAGTGGATTTAAAAGGTGCGAAAAGTGTGTCTGTGCGCACGACTGGTGCAGAACGCCAAAGGTGCACTGTGATGTTGTGCATCACGGCAGACGGCAGGAGGCTTCCGCCGTACGTCGTATTTAAAAGGAAGACTCTCCCAAAAGAGAAGTTCCCTCAGGGAATCGTCGTACGTGCGCAAGAGAAGGGCTGGATGTCCGAGGAACTGGTCGTTGACTGGATTAAGACCGTCTGGGCAAACAGACCTGGAGGGCTGTTACAACGGAAAGCCCTCCTTGTTTTGGACAGCTTTAGGGGCCACTTGACCGACCGCGTCAAGAACCGAGTTGCCGCAACTCGTACGGACTTGGCCGTCATTCCCGGTGGCCTGACGAGTGTGCTGCAGCCGCTCGACGTATGCGTCAACAGACCATTCAAAGTGGAATTTCGCCGATGTTACTCTGAATGGATGGCTGGAGGCGTCCACGAGAAGACCCCTACAGGACGGCTGAAGCGGGCGTCGCTCCAACAGGTGTGTGAATGGATTTTGAATGCGTGGCGTGCCATGTCAGTAGAAGTAGTTGCTAAAAGCTTCAAGGTAACGGGAATTTCGAACTCCATGAACGGCACCGAAGATGACCGTCTCTGGGAAGACGCGGACGCCGAGGCGAGCTCCTCCGAGAACGAGGACAGCGAAATGGAATCCGAATAAAAACATTTCTGGCATGTCATTTGTGACTCTTGCACTCTGCTACTGTTGCATAAACAGTACAGACCTTTGGCCTGTACTGCCTGTACTAAATCGGCCTGATTCGTGTAAGGGCCGCACCTAGCAAAATTTTCGAAAAAAAAGTGCGGCCCTTACACGAGTATATACGGTACACTAGACTGGGAACAATATGCACGAGGTTTGCCTTGTGTAACACCATTCCTATTTTTTAAAATTGTGCTGTGTGATAATTGGGACACCCTGTAGATATATATACTAAAGGTTGAATCGAAGTTACACAAACTACAGCTTGCAAAGATAAACCCTCCAGATCACAAAGTTAAAGGGATCATAAAACGATTTCCAAAAATCTTCTACTACAAGTGTATTCAGAATCCTGGTCATTCATCAATACTACACTTCGACTCGTTTCATCGTCTGGGTTCATTTAGTATGCACAAAATTACAGTTTACATTCCTCGCTAATGTTCCCCTTAGCTGTACAGCTGATGTCAGTTTAAGTCAGCCAATGAAAACTCTCTGACATCGACAATACATGGTGATGCAGCAATGTTTGCTGAGCCATAGCTAGCCAAGATTCGTAGCATCATACTGTCTCAATTGCGGCTCTGTAAGGTCGTCCTGAAGGATGTTTTCACTTCTATAAGTTGTCCAGCACTGTCTGACAATGCACACAATAGGCATAGCGAGGATTAAGCCACTCAAAAAAACACAACGTAAAACACCGGCGTGCTGCGCCAAGTGAGAGAAGGCAACATGTGACGGGACCCGGATATACATGAAATTGGAACCAAGCAGACCACTTACAGTACTTCCACTGTATACACAGCTCAGAGCGCAAAAAATGCTGTGTCATCTTTTTCTTTTTTAGGTTCCTGTAAATCTATCATTTTGGAGCAAGACAAAGGTAACACTCTGTTTATATTTCTCTAACCAGGACGGTTAACTGGCGTCACATGTTAGAGCTCCATGGCAGCCGGTAAGGCAGCATGGTAACTTAGGAGCTGAATAAAACTGTAATTTTAAATGGGTGTCAATAATTATAGACTAGATATTGCACAATGTATTTCAAAATTGGCATGCAAATCCTTATTAAAACAGGAAAAATTACATCCAGGCAGCTTCATTTTTGTTTCACAACCCCTTTAATCCTTTCCAGCGTCATTCAAGCATGCAGTGAATGATAATTGATCAGGTCTACTGCTGTTATTTTTTTCAAAAGCACCGATTTTTCACAGATGTAGAAATGTGGTTGTCATAAAATTATCTGGATATATCTGGTAAGCTATTCACGTACACTTCTTGTCCTATGTTTATCCAGTACACAATAGACCCTTGTAAGTATAGTAGACTTCTATTCAATGAAACTCTCTTAAAAACATTGCTACTTAAATGGAACAACTGTCTCTAATATGTTTGGTTTCGTATTTGAATATTATACCCCTGATTATCTCTCAGTAAATGAAACTCCTCTTAAAGTAAACACATTTTCCTGGTCCCTTCAGGTCTAAGGAGTCTATTGTAGTATCCCTTTCTGTGAAGGTCATGTGCGGAGCATAATTATATTTGACATACCTCAGCAAATGCTCAACTCTCGTAGAGCAAAGAAAGGAACAAGCAAGTGTGGTTCGGCCACAGATGTGTTCCTCGGACTAAAACCTGCTGGGGCACCTACCAAACATGTTCAGGTTCACGACAGGTGTGAGTGACATGCGTCCTGCAGGTGGCATCGCGTCTAGAATCCTCTTGAGTCCCTCCTGTAGTTTTGGGAAATGCTTCAGCGGCTGCTTCAGCCTGGTGGTGCCTCCTTTTGGCAGAAGCAGGTTGAAGACGGCCTCCCAGTCGGGCCGCCAATAGCCGCCCCTGAGCTGTGCTGCACCGAGCACAAACTGCTCCATCTCTGCGTGGGAGAAGAGGACGACGTGCAGGCTCAGTTTATCCACACACACTAACAAAGAGGCACTAACAATCAGGATACTGCGTAATGGGACTTCTTTGTGTAGCCATTTAGGTTGATTTTGCATTAAGTTGAAGCTAATGTCTGCTTCAGTGGCGTTGAGTGCACACTATATTCAGCAAGCTTGCTTAGCAGCGGCGACAGACGACGCGCTTCCACCAGTTACACCACTCATTGTTCAGAAATAAATGGCAAAGATGCCAAGAGAACAGTGCCAGTAGTGTGACTGGCACAAACAATTTTGTGCAGCCCACTTCTCATCCACCTTCTCAGACGGAACAGAGCGCCACTGTCTCACTAACAAAGGAACCATAGAAAGCAGTGCGTTGATCCTTTCCTCAACAGCAAATGCCAGATGAGGCCCACAGAGCCTGTCGTCTCACAACTGTTGTTCTCTACTCCTCATGCTCTCTCCTCATGCCATCTTTATTCATCCAAAGCACTCCACATGTGCCTTTTTTTATTCTCATCCGCTCTGCCAGTTAGGGTGATGGCACTCAACAACATGAACGGGTGCCTAAGAACTGTACCAAGAATAAAGAAAGGCCGTGTGCTCTTTCGAACATAACTTGAGTCAATATAAATGTCAAGTTTTCCTGCATCCGATGACATACACACACACATTAAGAATAAACCTTCCAAAACATCTCTTTTCTTTTTCTTGCATTTTAAGTATAATCTACTAAGGCAGCTAGTGTGAATCTGTTTCAGTGCAACTGCCTGCAAAAACATCTGTTTGATGAATGTAGTGTCAAGCATTTCAATCAATCAATCAGTTTATTGTGTGTAAAATAGATAGAATTGTTGGTTATTAATATACAGATAGAACCCCAGAGCCCATTAAAAGGCAGTTGCAGGGGTTTGTTTTTTAACAGTAGTAGTTAGCTGTGCTACAGAGAAAATATTGGATACAAGTGCAATGAAACACAAGAAATACATATAATAGTTAGTGACTCAAGAAATACATATCTATACAATAAATCAGAACAATATTCATGAATTTAAGTATGACTGTTATAGTTTTGTAGGTGATCGCAAAGAGATTGTTTATATAGTGACGAAATGATGAGGATGCTGAGGTGATACAAGGTAACATGTTCCAGAGTTTCGATGCAGTATAACAAAATGAGTGTGATGTAGTTAGTCCTTATGCGGGGTATGCATGATAGTGTACCTAAAGTAGAGCGTGACGAATATGTGGGCATTTTATATGTCAGTGCTACTGACGGGCACTGAACAACATTATGCAGAAGTTGGTAGGCAAGTAATAATACACGGTAGTAAATACAAACTGTGATGAGTTGTACGTTTAGTAGTCTATAAGCATATGAAGTAGAGTCTGTTTTTGGTATGAAAAGAAGGGCGTGTACTGCTGTGTTCTGCACTACTATGAGGGGTGTCAGTGTTGTCGGGTAGGTTAATCCATAAATTACTACAGCATATGTGATGCGTGAATGTATGAAAAAATGGTATAATGTTATCATTGTCCTTATTGGGAAAAAGTAGCGTAGCCTGCAAAGGATAGGTATTTTTCTGTATATTATAAGTGTTGTCTCATGAACGTGAGTGTGCCATGAAAGCTGTTCATCCAAGTATACACCAAGAAATTTTGTATTACTAACCCTTTCTAGTAGTGCTATTCATTTCAAGGTGGTTACTTGATGTTAAATTAGTGTTTTTGGGGGGCAAAGATAATATAATTACTCTTAGAGCTGTTGGCAAGTAGTTTGTCTGCTTGAAGCCAAGATGATAACTTTCCTAAGGCTGTTGTTGCTTTGTGGTAGAGGATATTTTCGTTTTCTGTTGTTATAAATATATTAGTGTCATCTGCATAAAGGCTATAATCTTCCGGTGTTATGGATGGTAGATCATTAATATAAGCCAAGAACAAGAATAGCCCTAGAATTGAACCTTGTGGAACACCTCTATTCGTTACACATCAACATGATGATACTCCGTTGACGTATACATATTGCTCTCTATTATTTATATAGTTAGACAAGAGCTCAGCGCTGTCCCGCGTATCCCATAGTGTTCTAGTTTGTTTAGTAATATGTCATGGTCAAGCACGTCATATGCTTTTGTGAGGTCAATGAAGATACCCATTGTAAGAAGTTTATTTTCTATCGTTACTTTTGTTTTTTCAACATTATCAAGTAGAACATGTCCTGTTGATTTTGCCTTCCTGAAGCCATATTGCTCAGGGGTGTACAAATTGTGTTTCTCAAAAAAAGTTGTTCAGTCTAATGTACATTGCCTTTTCAAAAACTTTGCTTAATGCTGGAAATATGGTGATTGAATTATAATTTGCATCTTTTGTCTTGTCGCCTTTTTTTAAACACAGGCATTATTTCAGCGACTTTCAATTTCAAAGGAAACCAACCAGTTTTAGCATTCATTACATATGTTAATGGCTCAGCTAGAAGTGTAGCTAGGTGTTTTAGTATTTGAACCAATGGGCAATCATCATCTATTGACTTCGTGTTTTTAGTGCAAGTATTTTTTTTTCATTTCATCATTGGTTGTCGGGAAAAAAGTAAATAGATTTCAAGGTCTTTCCATCAGAAAGCCTACTACAAGTAACAATACTAATTGTTGGCCTGGTTGGTACTTGCAAAGCATGTCATTAAACCTACTACAAGTGTTGCTTGTAGTAGGCTTTCTGGCGTCTCAACAGAACGTCTCAATAGAACGTAGCTGAAGTACAAGATACTGCTGTAACAAACACAGTTACAATTTTAAACATTGATGAATGCTCCAGCCGTCCTTCACCGCTGAAGAATACTGTTCAAGTTGGTCAAGTCAGCATTCCTTTCGTTGTTGACATCGGTGCGACCGTATCATTGGTTAACTTACAAGACTTCAAGAAGTACTTTTCGGGGACCAGACTACTAGACTCATACGTTGTTCTTCAAGACTATTTGAAGAAATGCATTTTCAACCTCAGGTACTTCTCTACAAATGTTCAGTACAATGATACCACTTCTGCTGTCACATTTTATGTGAAGAAAGAGGATTCTTCACTTCTTGGGTTAGATGCCATTCGAAGCCTTCACATAATCATTGAGGGTGCAACATTGCCCTGATCACAAGTCTCAGATTCAGAAATGCCAAGAATTTCTGCCAATGTTCATTCCGAATTTCATCACCTCTTCACCCAGGAGCTCCGACTGGTGAAAAGCTACATGCACGAAGTGAAATGCTGTCCAGGTGTGCAGCCACTCTCTGCCAAATTTCACAGATTGCCATTCCCGCTTTGAGAACAAGTCTTCAATGAACTTTCTTGTTCTGCGAAATTGGGTGTCATCGAATGAGTTTCAGCATCGAATTGGGTCTCCCAACTGGTCCTGGTGAAGAAAAAGAATGGTTCCTTAAGACTTTGTGTGGACTTGCGTGAACCAAACAAAGCTATCGTGGTTGATGGGTTTCTTCTACCCCACATCAAAGAACTTCTCCAGCAACCTACAAGTGCCGTTTACTTTTCAAAGCTAGATCTTGCATTAGCGTACCATCAAGTTAACTTGTCGGTATCAAGTAGAGACTTTACCTCTGTAAGACAAGATTGTTTATACAGATTTCGCAGAGTTTGCTTTGGGCTTGCATCTACCCCTGCTGTTTTTCAGAAAATGATGTCGGACATCTTGAAAGATTGCTTGGTAGTGCTGTGCTACTTAGATTACATTTTGGTCTGCGGTCGAATGCGTGCTCAGCATGATGCTAATCTACAAGTTCTATAAACAACACAACAATGAAACTGAATGACAAATGTGCCTTTGCCGTCAAGCAAATTCAATTATTAGGACACAATGTCAGTACCAGAGGATTGTTTCCTCTTGAATCCAAAGTCCAAGCTACTGTTATTGCACCTACACCTGCAGATTCTGAAACCTTGCATTCATTTCTTGGACTCGCTGTCAATTACTCAAAGTTTATTCCACATTATACTGATGTTGTTGAACCACTGCATTTCTTGTTACAAAAAGGCCAAACATTCAATTGGTCCAAGGAAGCCAGTTTGGCTTTCAACCAAATCAAAAAAGTACTAGCTGCAAACCCAGTCATTCAACTCTTTGACAAGAATCTTCTAATAGCCATTACGACAGATGTGTCTAACATAGAATTGAGTGCCGTGTTTCAACAACTCAAAGGTGACCTCCTAATTGCAATTGCTTTTGCTTCGAGAACTTTGTCTCCTGCTGAAAGCAGATAATCTGCTGGTGAGCATGAAGCCCTAGCCTGCCTCTTTGCTTGCGAGAAATGACATGTGTACTTATGGGGTAGACATTTTACATTAGGCACTGATCATCAAGCTCTTGTTACATTGCTTTCTGCTGGATCAGAGGACCGACGCCCATTACGCATTTCCCGCTGGTGTGCCAGACTGTTATACTACAACTTCACTGTACAGTGCTGCAAGGGTTCACATAATGTTGTGGTGGATGCACTTTCTCGTTTACCTTTACAGCTTCCAGTCTGTCTAGAGCCGGAAGAAGAAATAATCTCTCTCGTTACTTCTTGCATAAGCAAAGCTGACCTACAGGTAGAAACTGCTGAAGATGCTACATCGCAGCATGCGCTTGCAATCATTGCTAATTATTGGCCAGATAAGAAATCTCTGCCACCAAAACATTGTGGCAACCTAGAAAGTTTAGTTTTCTGCGCAGATAAAGTCACCATTCCTATAATGTGCAACAGACTTGTAAAATTGGCTCATGAAAGCCACCCAGGAATTGTCAGAACGAAGCAACAGCTTAGAGAAAGATACTGGTGGCCTGGCTTAGATAGTAAAGTTGAATGTGCTGTTCGGAACTGCATTGTATGTAAAACAGCCGATAAATCTGCCGAACCTGTTTTTGCACCCCTCCAACCTGTCTCGTGGGCAAGCAAACAGGGGGAAAAGCTAGGCATGGACATTGTCGGGCCACTCACACGTGCTTCTTACGACTGCAGACTTGCCATTACATTAGTTGATCACCACTCTAAGTGGCAGGAAGCTTGTTTTACTCATGCAGTCACTTCCGAAGCGGTAATTACATTCTTTACAGCACTTCAGTAGGGAAGGCTTTCTTGAGGCATTGTTACAGACAACGGTCCCCAATTAGAGTCACAACTGTTTGAAACTTTTCTCTCAGACCGAAGCATTCAGCCTTTTTGCTCATCGAACTACTATCCACAAGTCAACGGCCAAGTTGAACGTTTCAACAGAGTTCTGAAAGAGCAAATTCAGCTCTCTCAACTTGAATGCCACCCACTGAAACATGCTGTTACAGAGTACTTAGGCACGTATAGCTTTGCACCTCAAGCTACTACAGGCTTTTCACCTGCACAACTTTTGCATAATTGCCAACCACGTTCTAAAATCGACATTGCAAGGTTACACCCAAACTCTTCTGCTCCTTTGCCAATGTTGGATCTAGTAAGAACACGAGTATTCTATCAGCAACAGGCAACTAACCAATGCATTGATTTAAAGGTCAGAGCAAAACCTCCTAAGCTACAGGTGAGCCACAGGGTCAAAGTTCGTCTTCCAGCTAAGCAGATTAAGTACAAGGGTCCGTAGACAATTACTAGTCAACTTGGACTGAATTCATTCAGCCTGAGTGATGGCAATGTATGGAATGCTTCAAAGCTCGTACTGGTTCATGCCGAGCAAAACTCAACTTCACAGCAGAATTCACTTCCTCCGCCTAATTCTTCATTCAAGCAACAGAATTACTCCCCACTTCGATCCATGTCCTTTTGCAATGCTCCAGTTACTGACCCTTCCACAAACAATCTTACAGGTGACTTCACAAGAAAAGGCTGATAAGCCCAGCCCCAGTGCAGATTTTTTCAAAGGTGGGAAAGATGCTTCGGGTATGGATGTGTCATGTACAAACACTCCAAAATCGCTCTGCATTTGCTCTCTGATGATAAGCATGTAGGTGAGCCCCAAAGCTCAAAATCTTCCGAGATAGATAAGGCTCCATCGGTGAATCCTTCATCTCATTCTCCTGCAAGCCTTCGTCCCAAGTGACGCCGTGAAGAACTGGCGCGTTACAAGGATTATGTCCTTTGAATATACTTCTACATTCCTACATGTGATAACTACTGTGGAATGTTTTATTGTACAATTTTCTGCAAGATCTTTTCAGTGGTTATGCCAAATTCTCATGTGCATCAAAAATTTATTGCATTTTACTAGTCTATTTTATGCATGTTACTATATGTCAAAGTTTCAGTGCCTCGCTGCTATATAATGTTGGAAACAACTGTGATTGCATGCGGTGGTGGTAGTTCTGTAAAATTGATCTGCATTCTCTTGTACCAGTAAACAAGAGCTTAATTCTCCTTTGCTTTATAAGGGGAGGTGATGTGGTGTTGGGCATATGATGTCCTAAATTAAATATTATGTATTTACTCACGTAATGGACGCACCTTTTTTCAGAAAAATCGGATCAATGTTCGGGGGTGCGTTAATTACGCGGGGTAAATTTTATGAAAACTTTTTTGGGAGGAGCGGAAAATGCGGTAATGCAAAAACAAGTTAGGTTGCTTAGGTTTCCACAATTAACATACGAGTACACTGTTTGGAATCAGCTAGCTACTTTGTCCCACTTTATTCATCTTCGGTGATTGATGGCGCTATCTTTTGCAAGCTGTGCCCTGACCGCCCGTACACGTAATAAAGGCGCTTTGCGGCTATCTTTTCTCGCAATCGCTTAACCGCAATATCTGCTGTGATCTGGAGGAGCGCCCGAAAGTGTGCGCTACGACGTTACGACACACTTTGCCAACTTTGCGGCAACCTCGCACGACGACCGTGACGATGACGTTTACATTGTAGCAAGTCACCAGTACTGCAGCAAGCTACCCTCGAAGCATCAAAACAAACCACCGATAATAAGATTAATGACGAAATATGGCTGCCGCCTCGCTTTTCCATGAGAAGTTCCTCTCTACGCGCGAATAACAAGCGAAGCAAGGATCGGGAGTGCAACCAAGTTGCGGAAATCATCATAATCATTTCTAAACGACAATCTATTTTTTATGGTTTTTCGAGAAACCTGCGGCGCAATAGCGACAAATGACTCTTCGCAACAGCAAATCTTGTCGTCGTCGCTCCAAAATCGCGTGCGCATGGTTGGGCTTTTTTGTACTCGCAGCAAGCGATTGTCGGTTGGCGCGGGCAGCTTCGTGACATTTGCTCACTGCGTGCTTATCAGCTGCGATGTCTACACTCGCACCGTTCATGAAACCCGCTGTGGCGGACAGATAAGACAGGGGACACTCCGTGCACAGATAGAAAGAAAAGCAATACGGCACACGGCAACGGGTGAGGGGGGGGGGGGGGAGAGAGCCGAGGTGGCCGGAAGGAGGGGTCGGCAAAATATTCAAAAACGGAAAAGATCTAACGGGTGCGGAGGCGCCAGGTGTCAGTTAGCGGGGCAGCAGCGAATGAATGAATGTAGGGGGTGCATTTATTGCGCGGGAAAAAAAATCCAAATTTTGATGACTGATGTTGGGGGTGCATTTATTAAGTGAGTGCATTCATTATGCGAGTAAATACGGTACTAATCTTGGAGTCATGGAACTCCGATCAGTTTCAGTTTTGTGGGATATGTCGCATAGCGCCACGCAACCACTATAGTGTGTAATCATTGCTACGCACTGCTGCGCACTCTCTGAATAAAGGGTCCCCTCTCTGTTCTCAGCCTGGAGTGACGTTCCTTACAGCGCTGCTGTGCTAATGCGCTCATTGTCTTCGTGGCTCGGTGTATCCGGCAGCGATACAACAATAAAGAAAACTTTTTATTTGACTTTCTATCATGTCAGTAACATGACAAGTAAACAACTTGCGAGAAAATTTGAGACCAGTACCAAGATGTCCCTTCGATTGAAGAAATAAACACATTGGCATTTCATTTAAAGTTAGCACTATCTTATTTACGAAGGTAATCCTGAATTCAAGTTTTGTGCAAATACTGCAAAGTCAATTAAGCCAGTGTGATTGCAATCTTCTTTTAAATTTTTGCTTGTCCTTGTGCTCGAAAGCTTTCACAAAAATTTGAAAAATTTTTTTGCCGGCACATGACACAAGTTAGGCATCTGTAACTAACTGCCATGACAGTCTGTGCAAAGCAACCATAAGTGAATCCTGTGCATTGCACAGGTGTGGGTATAAAGACGCTCAGAAAAATCATAGAAACAAGCTTGATTACAAAAGATCGCACTAGCTGCATCAGTTTCCTAAGCACTGGGATAAGCATAAATGAAATCTCTCACCTGTATTTGTTTTGGTCTATTTTCATACAGCTGTTGCATTGCTCAGGTAATATAATAATAGTTCAAGTTTAACCAGACCATTTATATTTAAAAGTAATGCCCACTTCAAACCAGTTATCTGATAATATTGGTACCTGTTGTAAGATTATCAATACACTTCGACTATTCCTGATTATTGACGCTCGAAAAAAATTATTCCCTTGCATAAATCTGGTTCTTCTCAAGAAATTAGCAACTACAAACGAGTTTCCTTAATGAGTACTTGTTGTAAACTTTTCGGGCATATTATTTATAAGGCCATCATTACTTATCTCGAATATAACAATTTGTTTTATTCCAAACAGCATGGTTTTAGATCTGGTTTATCAACTGTTACCCAACTATCTGAAATAACTGATGAAAATTAGTACACTAAACACTAATGGTCAAACCAACGCTATATTTTTAGATTTGTCAAAGGCGTTCGATGTCGTCCCCCATCCCAATCTGATTACAAAACTTCTCTCAATTGGCGTTGAACGAAAAGTAGTCGCATGGATAGTATGTTACTTCAGAAATAAAGCACCGTATGTCGCCATTAATGAATGTATCTCTGAAGAGCTGGATGTGTACTCTGGAGTCTCGCAGGGCTCGGTACTGGGCCCTCTACTTCTTTAGTATATATATATGATATTTATCTTACTGTTGAACTCCCTATCCGTATTAAATTATTTGCGGACGACAGCATGGTATACACAGCTATTAAAACCCGAGATGACCAAATTAAATTAAACAATGCCTTGCACTCAATTAGGACATGGTGTACAAAGTGGGTTTTAAGAATAAATGCTACTAAGACAGCTTCTATTACATTCAGTAACAAAAAAAGGCCTCTCGGCTTCACTTATTCTTTAGGTAATGCTACGATCAACAGGTCCGATAAGGTTAAATATTTAGGCATCACACTTACAAGCAACCTCAGTTGGGAAACACACATTAATAACATTTGTCAGGGTGCACTTAAGAAATTGGCATTTTTGAAAAGAAAGTTGTGCAGTACTCCTCCAGCTGTGAATATAAACGCTTATAAGGCACTAGTACAACCTAAGTTGGAGTATGTAGATGTCATTTGGAGCCCTTACCAACAATACTTCATAAGTAAAATTGAAAGAGTGCAAAATTTAGCTTTGCGCTTCATTTATTCTGTTTATTCGCGTCACTCGAGTGTAACCACTTTACGTAATAGGGCAAACCTTCAAACACTCGAGCAGCATAGGGTCACATCTAGATTAAAATTCCTCTATCAGCTTTACTACGGTCACTTCAATATGTCGTGGAAACGCTACATCCAAGAGCCTTTCAAACGATCAGCGAGAATTCACCACGGTAAAGCTTCTAGGCAACCGATTAGCCACATTAATTTGCATAAGTTTTCTTTGTTTCCTCGAGCAATTTCTTATTGGAATATGTTACCTGAAGAGACGGTCATTTCCGTGTCATTAGAGGTGTTTTCTCAGCATATTTGTAATATAGGCTTTGGTTAAAGTGTCGTTTCAAAATTGGAAGACATTATCATTGTGTTCTTTTAACGTATGCATACCGTACATGTGTTTGTGCAAGCATATTTATGCCTACCCTTGTGTGTGTTGTACATTTTAAAATTACGTCAAGCCACACTGATTTATTGTCAAGTTGTATGTTGAATTTCTGTCAATGTATTTTATTGTTTTCACTCCTGCATGGGCCCAAGAAGGACCTGCAGTATCTGTAAATAAAAAAATCTTAGCTAGTCATTATCAAAAGAATCCAAAATTTATAACCTATAATGCAGCTGGGTAGTAAATGCCACTCTTTTTTTTTTGCCTTTTTGTTCGTTATTTGATTCACATTGGAAATGTATTCAATTAATTCATGGACATTGTATTGATCTACAAGTGGTACAATATTCCCTTGAGTTCAACACCACGAGTGCTACAGACCAACAAAGACAAAAGGAAGAAGTAAATAGAGAGAACAGAGTAAGTCCTACATAGCATTTCCTTGTTGCTGTGTTGCGCGACCTCTGGTGTTATGTGAAGGCGCAAGTGGGACTGAGATTGCCGTTCGTGCCGCAGAGTGGAGCTAGATCTTTGCCATACCGGTCATGCGACCTGTGTCGTAATGACCAATCATCAGTCTTCCTCTTTTATAAAACCGCCTGCAATAAATGAGAGAGAGCAGTCTCCTGTCAGTTTCGCCAAAGCTTGGTCTACATGTCGTCATTCGCTTGGCCTCTCCGTTGGCCTGCCGCGAGATTACGTCGATGCTCCTGCCCCAACACAACATTTGTCTTGGCTTTGAAGTGCTGCGCCAGCTGTATAGTGAACCAATACAAACTAACGCACCTGTCATACTACTCTGCACCACACTCAATATTAAACCCCACATATCAATGCACCACACTCAGAGTACAACTGCTCCACCTTAAACAAGCCTTCCCACCTTTGAGAAAAACGGTGATGTCGGCAAAGTGAAACTTGGTTCCAAAGAGCTGCAAGGTGACGTTTTGAGAGAAGTCCGACAGCAAGTTCCTCCAACCACCGTACACTTCTTCCGAGCCAATTTTGACAGCAAACTCACTGAGCTCAGCCGGCATGAAAGGCAACCTGATGTGTCGTTGGAATGTCCGCCGGTTTGACTTGCGTGCTTTGTCCCTGCTGTAGAGACTCCCCGCAGTGTAAAACTTTTCTCCAGGGCTAGTGGTAAAAAAACAAAAAGAAAAACACAGAATGTGCAAGGTTGTGTCTGAATACAGTATAAAGAGGCTTTGATTTGTTCTTGTTGCTGTAGGCTTGTTATCAATCAATCAACCAGTTTTATTTGGCATTCATTACAATGTCAGCCACATGATGAGCACAAGGACAAAGAGAGAAGGCAGCAAGTGCACAGCTTACACAAGTGGTGCAAGGCTGAAACAAACAACGCAGATAGTGTTCGGCCTTGCCAAGATTTGTTAGTGGTAATAGCAAGCTTTTGCTAGACATGCTACGTTTTTGCTAGTGGTAAAGGTTGTGCGGTCTCGAAACGAGAGTTCCATGCTCTTGGGGTAAACAGACACAGAAGACGCGGTCGAAACGAACCAAGCCACATACATTTATTTAACTGCTTTTAGATCGACGATAACGTCAGCTGAATTATTATATATTAATTGTGATCAACACGCTAAAAAAATTCATGCAGTATTACACAACACTCAAAAACAGACCAAACACAAGAACATACACAAGGCGGCTTTCCGAAGACGACTTACCACGAGGGCCCGCGGTGCCACGCACCGGGGACCCACCACTACAGACAATCATTCGCGCTAACCGTCGCCTGCCAAAAAGAGAACCGCTTATCTCTCCTGTGCCGCCACCAAGGCTTGCTGCCTGGCATCGCTGCCGGCACCACGGTTCTTACCATGATGATGATGATGGTAATAACCGCTGGCGAGCACACTGCCCCCTACCGCTCGACAGTTGTCACGCCCAGAATGCGGCTTATTCGCGAGACATGTGCACCATGAAGGTCAAACTACTTTGCAGGGGGTGTCAGCACCCCCTCAAAGTATGGCTCGACTTGGCTATTTTTCACTGGTTTTGATCAGTTGTCCACAATACGCATGCCATGTGATTTTCGTGTAACATGTCATGTGACAACTTACGTGATATTATGTGATTTCAGAAACGTGACTACTTGTTACATGATTTACAAGAATGCACTCATGCGATGGTGTTACGTGATTTGGATCATCCCAGTGAACCACTGATATCCAGTCAACATAAAAATAAGACCCATACGTGTAGGTCTATCGATTACATCTAATCAGCATCACCATAATATGCCATCCCTACAGTCTAGAGAGTCTACATATTATTAATCTCGTGTGCACTTTCATCTTAGACAAAAACTAGACGTCGCAAATGATGTCCCATATACATGCTCTCAACATCAAATGCGTCACAGCAATTTCTGTCTTCCAAAACCACTTCAGTTGACGTTTAGAATAACAAATGTATACTGGCATGTAAAGTCTAGAAAATGCCCGAACATAAATGGACATGTAACGTTTGAGCGTGCGTGAAGCATGCACTTACATGCACGAGGAGATAAAGTGTGCGAACTTACACAAAATTAACATGCGTGGCCCTATAGTGTTGCCGCATATGATAGCCCGAAATCATGCAGCCCGAAGGTGGTTTCAAGTGTGAAGCACTTTAGGGGCCTAGGCTGTCATCACTTGGCGTAACACAAGCAAAACCACATAAAAAACAGAAAAGATGATGTAAATGAGAAATAGAAAGATATAGAAAAGGAAGAAATATGAAGAAAAATAGAAAGTGCTAGAGAAATAGATTAAAAATAGAGAAGAAATAAAAACAGAAATAACTGAAAAAGAAAAAAAGAAAGAGAGGACGAAATTGATTGATTGATATGTGGGGTTTAACGTCCCAGAACCACCATGTGATTATGAGAGACGCCGTAGTGGAGGGCTCCGGAAACTTCGACCACCTGGAGTTCTTTAACGTGCGCCCAAATCTGAGCACACGGGCCTACAACATTTCCGCCTCCATCGGAAATGCAGCCGCCACAGCCGGGATCTGATCCCGCGACCTGCGGGTAAGAGAGGACGAAAGAATGCTCAAGAGAAACAAAGCAGACTTATTCCCAGCCACACATTTCCTTCAGGCTTGCTGCATGCTTTGTGTGCAAGAGACATGCGCTCCCACTGCCATCTGGCTCTTAGCTGGTGTTTATACCTACAGAAGGCATCAACACCTTGAGGCTGGCCTTAACTATGTCGTCTGACAGCAATCCGGCCAACCTCACCCCCCTGGTCTAGTGGTTAAGGTACCCGGCTGCTGACCTGCAGGTCGCAGGCTCAAATCCTGGCTGCGGCGGCTGCATTTTCGATAGAGGTGCAAGTGCTGTAGGCCCCTGTGCTCAGACTTGGATGCACGTTACAGAACCCCAAGTAGTCGAAATTTTTGGAGCCCTCTACTATGGCATCTCTTATGCGGTGGTTTTGGATCGGGCCCTACATATGAATCAGTCCAACCAGCCTAACGCCTTTTATGCCTTCTATAACATACAGCTGAGCGGAAATGAGCAAGACTGCCGTGAGACCGCAGGTCTAACACACCAACTACAAGCGGAAAGCGTGCAAAGTGCATGAAAAACCTTTTATTTACTAAATGACAAAGTTTATGTAAATCTATTGAATGTCTATTCAGTGTACATGTGCAACGTACCCGCAACCTTACTCGGCCGAGCTTTTCATGGTTGCGGGTACATCTAATCTTCGTAATTTGGGTTTCAATGGATATCTAAGAAACATTTACAAATCTACGAAAAACATACCATGGATGTCTACACAATACTTGAGGTTCACTGGGATGTGAGAAGCTGTTTCATGGTTTGGAAAGAACATTCTTGTGACACTGTTATGTGATGTTGCATAATTTTAAGTCCCACGAGTGCCTAGTTGTGGAGTGATATTACTTGATTTTAGTCACCTGACTAGTTGTGACGTGAAGTTACTAGATATTTAGTCACGTAACAGACTTGTCCATCATAGTCATTTTATTCCATGACCGGTCTAATTGGTACACTTGTTCAGTGATAGAAGTGCCTTTTTACTTTTAGGAACACACTTTGGAGCAAAAAATATTCTGCTTTGCAGCAGCCATAAGTCTTCCCGGAGCATAAAAAATGCTAGTTTATGGCAGCTATTGGTGTTTTAGAAGCTGATATTAAATTTGCCCTACATTATTTGCAATTCAGAGCATTGTCAAAACATCTCATAAATATTGACATTTTGTATGAAATTTATATAACAGACAATAATCAATGCAAATTTTTTGTACAAAACAATGGCAGGTTGTTGAAAATGTACGGTGAAGAGAGCTACAATTTAAAATACTAGTATTTGTGGCAGAAATCAAATCAAACCGAAAAGCTAAGCGCCACATTTTAGAAGTAACCACAGTTCCATATAACTATTGCCAAATAAGCAGCAGAAAATCAGTATGAGATAAAAGCACTCCTGCACATCTAGCTGAAAAAAAAAAAACAGCCAAATGAGCTATATGCCTAATATCCCAGTTATTGTCACAAAAATGAGATCAGAGCTAATAATGCTGCACACTAGCAACACACTGGGATGATAGTACACAGATTCTTTTTAGGGTATTTAGGAGTCGGTCAAACAGTAAATGTTCATCATTCTCATTCTCTCGGTGTCATTTCGGAGCAGGTTCGAAGCAATTATCAATCAACAAAAATTACTGTATGGAGCAGTTGGAGCAGCACTTCTATCACTGCATCTTGAGCAGAGGGCAAAGCGAGCGTGTGGTGGCTTATGATGATGATGACCATTGTTTGCACTGCCCAGCCCAACAAAAAGTTTGAAAAGCTCTGTCCTTAAAGGGTCCTTGAAATGGCCTTTTCACATTCTGTTTTTGATTAAATCACTACTGGAGTAAATCATAGGCACCTGAATTCAATCGAAACACCCATAATAAATGGAGCTATGAGTACTAAAAAAGTACCCACATCCTCCGCTCTGCCATTCACCCTCAACTGCACTCAACTCTTCCTTCGACCCCTCGGCGCTAAACTCTGCCTTCATGGAGTCTGTGTCACTATGTGGCCTGAGACCGCATACGCGTAAATCCCACTGCTGATTCAATACCGGCAGTCTGTGCTGCACGTTCCACAGCCAATCAGATCAGCTGAAAACTATGAGGTCAGTGGGGCAGAGCATGTCCCTTGGTGTATGGGCGGTTAAAACGCATTTGGCCGAGTAGCAGCAATCTGCAGCAATTCACAGCTTTAAAGTGCTGTAATAAATTACACAGTTTACGCAGAGAGCTCAAATTCGTCTCTAAATTACCCTTGGGACTTGGTCTACCGGACCAATGTGTTTGTAAAAAAATTGTCAAAACTATTTCAAGGTCGTTTTCCAAACCGGTGCTATCTAGCACCTCGACAAAGTCCTTGCCCCAATCCTTGACAGCCAAAGCATACAATTCAAGGGGTTATAAACATTTCCAGTTTTCATAAGTAGTCTATCACTCAGAAAAATAAGAAAAAACAAACAGTAGCAGTGAACAAAAGTAAAGAAATACACAAAAACAAAATAGTATAGACAGGACAGCGCATTGACTACCAGCATTTAGGCTAATTTTTATGCAAATATGGGGGTAGCCAGTTGAGAAGCATGTGAACTTGAGCTTCATGGTACACATTCACAGTATAAAACAGTGAAAAAACAGCAAGAAAAAGACAGAAGAAATATGACAGACAGCTGACTACCAATAACTGCAATTTTTCTGCAGAGAAAACATATATGCTTCAAGAAATAGAAAAACCAGAGGGGAGGACTTTTCTAGCATGTGCACAGGCAGTGCTTTGTTGAAGAAGCGTGCTTTGTCACAAATTCATTAAGGAGCTCCCTGCTAAAGGTCAACCGTGTTTCCTCAACCTCAAGTGATACTCCGGTGCGGTGCACATGTGCTGACAGTATGCGCTCCGCTCAAAGGAAGGCCTTTTTTCATTCACGTTTCACCATTTTAAGCTCCTCAAGCATGCCACTGTGCTGTCTGCAATGAAAAACGCCTTAATTAGGTCTCGCTCTTACCAAGTTGCAACGAGCTTCTCTTACCAAGACCAGCGATCGAATGCAGCAGGCTTTCCTGAAGAGTTTTCTTCT